AATCAGCACATCCCACCCATCAGTGCCCCACCACTCAGCACATCCCACCCATCAGTGCCCCACCACTCAGCACATCCCACCCATCATCGCCCCACCAATCAGCACATCCCACCCATCAGTGCCCCACCAGTCAATACATCCCACCCATCAGTGCCCCACCAATCAGCACATCCCACCCATCAGTGCCCCACCAGTCAGCACATCCCACCCATCATCGCCCCACCACTCAGCACATCCCATCCATCAGCGCCCCACCAATCAGCACATCCCACCCATCAGCGCCCCACCTCTCAGCACATCCCACCCATCAGCGCCCCTCCAGTCAGCACATCCCACCCATCAGCGCCCCACCAGTCAGCACATCCCACCCATCAGCGCCCCACCAGTCAGCACATCCCACCCATCAGTGCCCCACCAGTCAGCACATCCCACCCATCAGTGCCCCACCAGTCAGCACATCCCACCCATCAGCGCCCCACCAGTCAGCACATCCCACCCATCAGCGCCCCACCAGTCAGCACATCCCACCCATCAGCGCCCCACCAGTCAGCACATCCCACCCATCAGCGCCCCACCAGTCAGCATCCAAAGCTGTGGAGCCAACCAAGGAGGAGTCCAGAGAGGCTGGAGCCAACCAATGAGAGGACCAAAATGGCAGGAGTGGACTAATATACTCAGAAGAGTCTCTTCATTCTTGGAACTTCCCGTTTGAATGGAGTCCTCATCCATACAGTATATAACACTTATGAGGGTTCAAAAGACCATAAATTGAGGTTGCCCCAGAAGACAGATATAAATGGCAGCTACTTGTTCCTATCCAGCAGGTCCAGGAAGATCCCTCAAAGCCAGAGAGGAGCGAACTCCCGGCAACTGCCCCAAGCAGATCCATGAATCTCACAAACTGACCGCCAAAGTCTGCTCCGCCCTCCGAGTTCCCGTCTCCTTCCATTATAGGACTTTCTTCGGAGGCCGATGTCAGATCCTGCTGGGGACAGTTGGGCAAAAGATCCATTACTGGTCGCTGCGATCTTGTCGCTGACATTAAACACTCGAAGACTGGAAAATCAGCGAATTAACAGTTCCGGAGAAAATACATTTCTTAGCACTTTCGGCTCGCTGTGAATAAATCGGCGGTCTGACATGGACCTCGCTGAGAAGATGAAGGACTGCGATCTTTGCGGGATGGCGATGACTGTGTAAGCAGAATAAAATAAATAAACTGCCTGCTGCCGATACATTGGATGACGGATCTGAGGAACACGGCCAGAATGTTCATTGTTAGACAATGTGGACCTCTCATCAATACACGACACATCTGAGGACCATCACATTATCCGCACGACGGGGCCGACCCGCGATTCTCATCCCGCGCGACTGGGCGAACCTACGAATCTTGCTCCACGTAACTGGGCCAACCTACGAATCTCACCCCATGCAACTGGGCCAACCTACGAATCTCGCCACACGTAACTGGGCCAACCTACGAATCTCGCCACACGTAACTGGGCCAACCTACGAGTCTTGCTCCACGTAACTGGGCCAACCTACGAATCTCACCCCATGCAACTGGGCCAACCTACGAATCTCGCCACACGTAACTGGGCCAACCTACGAATCTCGCCACACGTAACTGGGCCTACCTACGAATCTCGCCACACGTAACTGGGCCAACCTACGAGTCTTGCCCCATGCAACTGGGCCAACCTACGAATCTCGCCACACGTAACTGGGCCAACCTACGAGTCTTGCCCCACGCAACTGGGCCAACCTACGAGTCTCACCCCATGCAACTAGGACAACCTACGAATCTCGCCCCATGCAACTAGGACAACCTACGAATCTCGCCACACGTAACTGGGCCAACCTATGAATCTCACCCCACGCAACTAGGCCAATCTACAAATCTCACCCCACGCGACTGGGCCAACCTACGAATCTCACCCCTCACAACTGGGCCAACCTACGAATCTCACCCCATGTGACTGGGCCAACCTACGAATCTCACCCCATGCTACTGGGCCAACCTATGAATCTCACCCCTCGCAACTGGGCCGACCTACGAATCTCGCCCCACGCAACTGGGCCAACCTATGAATCTCACCCCACGCAACTGGGCCAATCTACGAATCTCACCCCACGCGACTGGGCCAACCTACGAATCTAACCCCTCGCGACTGGGCCAACCTACGAATCTAACCCCTCGCGACTGGGCCAACCTACGAATCTCACCCCACACGACTGGGCAAACCTACGAATCTCACCCCATGCGACTGGGCAAACCTACGAATCTCACCCCACGCGACTGGGCCAACCTACGAATCTCACCCCAAGCGACTGGGCAAACCTACGAATCTCAGCCCAAGCGACTGGGCCAACCTACGAATCTCGCTCCATACAACTGGGCCAACCTATGAATCTTACCCCTCGCAACTGGGCCAACTTATGAATCTCACCCCTCGCAACTGGGCCAAAATACGAATCTCACCCCTCGCAACTGGGCCAACCAACGAATCATACCCCACGCGACTGGGCCAACCTATGAATCTTACCCCTCGCAACTGGGCCAACCTACGAAATCTCACCCCTCGCAACTGGCCCAACCTACGAATCTCACCCCACGCGACTGGGCCAACCTATGACTCTCACCCCACACGACTGGGCAAACCTACGAATCTCACCGAACAAGACTGGGCCAACCTACGAATCTCACCGAACGCAACTGGGCCAACCTACAAATCTCACCCCTCGCAACTGGGCCAACCTACGAATCTAACCCCATGCAACTGGGCCAACCTACAAATCTCACCCCATGTGACTGGGCCAACCTACAAATCTCACCCCATGCAACTGGGCCAATGTACAAAATCTCACTCCATGTGACTGGGCCAACCTACGAATCTCACCTCATGCGACTGGGCCAATGTACAAATCTCACTCCATGTGACTGGGCCAACCTACGAATCTCACCCCATGTGACTGGGCCAATGTATAAATCTCACTCCATGTGACTGGGCCAACCTACGAATATCACTCCATGTGACTGGGCCAATGTATAAATCTCACTCCATGTGACTGGGCCAACCTATGAATCTCACCTCATGCGACTGGGCCAACCTACGAATCTAACCCCTCGCGACTGGGCCAACCTACGAATCTCACCCCACACGACTGGGCAAACCTACGAATCTCACCCCCATGCGACTGGGCAAACCTACGAATCTCCCCACGCGACTGGGCCAACCTACGAATCTCACCCCAAGCGACTGGGCAAACCTACGAATCTCAGCCCAAGCGACTGGGCCAACCTACGAATCTCGCTCCATACAACTGGGCCAACTATGAATCTTACCCCTCGCAACTGGGCCAACTTATGAATCTCACCCCTCGCAACTGGGCCAAAATACGAATCTCACCCCTCGCAACTGGGCCAACCAACGAATCATACCCCACGCGACTGGGCCAACCTATGAATCTTACCCCTCGCAACTGGGCCAACCTACGAAATCTCACCCCTCGCAACTGGCCCAACCTACGAATCTCACCCCACGCGACTGGGCCAACCTATGACTCTCACCCCACACGACTGGGCAAACCTACGAATCTCACCGAACAAGACTGGGCCAACCTACGAATCTCACCGAACGCAACTGGGCCAACCTACAAATCTCACCCCTCGCAACTGGGCCAACCTACGAATCTAACCCCATGCAACTGGGCAACCTACAAATCTCACCCCATGTGACTGGGCCAACCTACAAATCTCACCCCATGCAACTGGGCCGATGTACAAATCTCACTCCATGTGACTGGGCCAACCTACGAATCTCACCCATGTGACTGGGCAATGTACTGGGGGCCAACCTACGAATGGCCTCAATGTGACTGGCCAATCTCACTGGGCCAACCTACGAATATCACTCCATGTGACTGGGCCAACCTACGAATCTCCTCATGGACACAAGGCCAATCCTGCGCTACGAATCGCGACTAACCCCTCGCGACTGGGCCAACCTACGAAATCTCACCCCACACGACTGGGCAAACCTACGAATCTCACCCCATGCGACTGGGCAAACCTACGAATCTCACCCCACGCGACTGGGCCAACCTACGAATCTCACCCAAGCGACTGGGCAAACCTACGAATCTCAGCCCAAGCGGGGTACTGGGCCAACCTACGAATCTCGCTCCATACAACTGGGCCAACCTATGAATCTTACCCCTCGCAACTGGGCCAACTTATGAATCTCACCCCTCGCAACTGGGCCAAAATACGAATCTCACCCCTCGCAACTGGGCCCAACCAACGAATCATACCCCACGCGACTGGGCCAACCTATTGAATCTTACCCCTCGCAACTGGGCCAACCTACGAAATCTCACCCCTCGCAACTGGCCCAACCTACGAATCTCACCCCACGCGACTGGGCCAACCTATGACTCTCACCCCACACGACTGGGCAAAATCCTACGAATCTCACCGAACAAGACTGGGCCAACCTACGAATCTCACCGAACGCAACTGGGCCAACCTACAAATCTCACCCCTCGCAACTGGGCCAACCTACGAATCTAACCCCATGCAACTGGGCCAACCTACAAATCTCACCCCATGTGACTGGGCCAACCTACAAATCTCACCCCATGCAACTGGGCCAATGTACAAATCTCACTCCATGTGACTGGGCCAACCTACGAATCTCACCTCATGCGACTGGGCCAATGTACAAATCTCACTCCATGTGACTGGGCCAACCTACGAATCTCACCCCATGTGACTGGGCCAATGTATAAATCTCACTCCATGTGACTGGGCCAACCTACGAATATCACTCCATGTGACTGGGCCAATGTATAAATCTCACTCCATGTGACTGGGCCAACCTATGAATCTCACCTCATGCGACTGGGCCAAGGTATAAATCTCACTAAACGCGACTGGGCCAACCTACAGTCAGGCTGGGGAGGAAATCCTAGATGATGCTGGATGTCCTCCAGCCAGGAAATGAGGCGTAGCTCTGTATAACTTACTGAAGCTTCTAATGCACATTGTGAGAAGCCCACAGTGTGCAGTGACATCAGAGGAAGCCGATCAGTCCAGGAGAGGAGCCGGTACACCTATGCAAGACTGAAGGGGAGGAGCCGGTACACCTGTGCAAGGCTGAAGGGGAGGAGCCGGTACACCTGTGCAAGGCTGAAGGGGAGGAGCCGGTACACCTGTGCAAGGCTGAAGGGGAGGAGCCGGTACACCTGTGCAAGGCTGAAGGGGAGGAGCCGGTACACCTGTGCAAGGCTGAAGGGGAGGAGCCGGTACACCTGTGCAAGGCTGAAGGGGAGGAGCTGGTACACCTGTGCAAGACTGAAAGGGAGGAGCCGTTACACCTGTAAAAGACTAAAGGGGAGGAGCCGGTACACCTGTGCAAGGCTAAAGGGGAGGAGCCGGTACACCTGTGCAAGGCTGAGGGGGAGGAGCCGGTACACCTGTGCAAGGCTGAGGGGGAGGAGCAGGTACACATATGCAAGACTGGAGGGGAGGAGCAGGTACACCTGTGCAAGGCTGAAGGGGAGGAGCCGGTAAACCTGTGCAGGGCTGAAGGGGAGGAGCCGGTACACCTGTGCAGGGCTGAAGGGGAGGAGCCGGTAAACCTGTGCAGGGCTGAAGGGGAGGAGCCAGTACACCTGTGCAAGGCTGAAGGGGAGGAGCCGGTACACATATGCAAGACTGGAGGGGAGGAGCAGGTACACCTGTGCAAGGCTGAAGGGGAGGAGCCGGTAAACCTGTGCAGGGCTGAAGGGGAGGAGCCAGTACACCTGTGCAGGGCTGAAGGGGAGGAGCCGGTAAACCTGTGCAGGGCTGAAGGGGAGGAGCCAGTACACCTGTGCAAGGCTGAAGGGGAGGAGCCGGTACACCTGTGCAAGGCTGAAGGGGAGGAGCCGGTACACCTGTGCAAGGCCGAAGGGGAGGAGCCGGTACACCTGTGCAAGGCCGAAGGGAAGGAGCCGGTACACCTGTGCAAGGCCGAAGGGGAGGAGCCGGTACACCTGTGCAAGGCCGAAGGGGAGGAGCCGGTACACCTGTGCAAGGCCGAAGGGGAGGAGCCGGTACACCTGTGCAAGGCCGAAGGGGAGGAGCCGGTACACACCTGTGCAAGGCCGAAGGGGAGGAGCCGGTACACCTGTGCAAGGCCGAAGGGGAGGAGCCGGTACACCTGTGCAAGGCTGAAGGGGAGGAGCCGGTACACCTGTGCAAGGCTGAAGGGGAGGAGTCGGTACACCTGTGCAAGGCTGAAGGGGAGGAGCCGGTACACCTGTGCAAGACTGAAGGGAGGGCTGTAGCCTGTCTGTAGTGGGGGACTCCGCAGAGCGGCCATGCAGTAGATATAGAACGGAGCCAGAGCTTGAACGGATGAACGGGATGACGTCATACTGCAGAGAGATCTATCCTGGGATGCACCAGCTGAGGATGATGTCACCGTCCAATCGTCTCCAGACAATACATCCCATAGAGGAATTCCAGCACCCTGTATATGAGAATACGACGCTGCGACCAGCTAAGACCGCGCTACATCCAAGCTCCGCCCCTCACACTTTATTTCCAGTTATTTCACCATCAAACCTGAAATCCGTGACGCAGGTGCCGTGGACCTGTCATGCAGCAAACCATTAAAGCGCATGTGCGGCCAAAAGTTGTTGTTTTTTCTGTTTTGAATAGAATGGAAGAGGCCTGGAACCCCCGCCGGCCATTTACGGATTTCTGGAGCTCCATCAGAGAGATTTTCCTCACTTCCTGTCCTGGTGACAACTTTTAATCTCACATGATATCAGGGCAATGGTCTCCCAAGTGTAAATCTTCACTGGAAATACACAAGAAGGCCTGACGAATCTGCATGGAATCGGGGAGTCGGCTACGAAAGTGCGCAGCCAGTCTTCTTTTTAGTGTAGCGTGGATTGTCTGCGTCTGGGGCCACTTCTGCGCAGCAAGATTCACGCCATGCGATTTCCCACGTGATAATCACAGCAAAACTACACGTTTTAGGAGAAAATAATGGAACCTGAACCCACATTTTGCAATCACAGAGATTCTGCGTTTTTGCATTGATGTCAGATGCTAGCACACAGCCAATAATGAACTACAAGTCCCAGCAGTCCCAGTGTCCAGGTAGAAGCACACAGCCAATAGGGAACTACAAGCCCCAGCAATCCCAGTGTCAAGCACACAGCCAATAAGGAACTACAAGCCCCAACAGTCCCAGTGTCCAGGCAGAAGCACACAGCCAACAACTCCCAGCAGTCCCAGTTTCCAGGTAGAAGCACACAGCCAATACTGAAAGGAGAAGTACAGCCGAAGCACAGCCGTGTCTGATCACTCAGTTCTCAGTCCTAAAGCTTTCAGGAATTACAAGTCCCAGCAGCCCCAGTTTCCAGGTAGCAGCACACAACCAACCTGAACTACAAGTCCCAGGATTTCCCAGTGCCCAGGTAGAAGCACACAGCCAATAGGGAACTACAAGTCCCAGAAGCCCCAGTGTCCAGGTAGAAGCACATAGCCAATAGGGAACTACAAGTCCCAGAAGCCCCAGTGTCCAGGTAGAAGCACACAGCCAAAAAGGAACTACAAGTCCCAGCAGTCCCAGTGTCCAGGTAGAAGCACACAGCCAATACTGAAAGGAGAAGTACAGCCGAAGCACAGCCGTGTCTGATCGCTCAGTTCTCAGTCCTAAAGCTTTCAGGAATTACAAGTCCCAGCAGCCCCAGTTTCCAGGTAGCAGCACACAACCAACCTGAACTACAAGTCCCAGGATTTCCCAGTACCCAGGGAGAAGCACACAGCCAATAGGGAACTACAAGTCCCAGAAGCCCAAGTGTCCAGATAGAAGCACACAACCAATAAAGAACTACAACTCCCAGCAGCTCTAAACTAGTAATATTCTGAAGCCAAGAGCTCTCGGCACCCATCTGTACCCTGGGAATACTCTGACTCTCCAGCAATCAAAGGGCTGAGCCCAAATCCCCAGTGCTGAGGAGTCTACCTCTATCCTGGAGAAGGAGATGATGAATCCGGAGTCTGTGTAAGGGTGGGAACCCACTGACCAGCCATTGACCACCCTCCATTGATCACCCACTCATCATCCATTGACTACCCTCCATTGACCACCCGCTGATCATCCATTGACCAGCCATTGAACATCCACTGGCCACCCTCCATAGAATACCCGCTGATCATCCATTGAACACCCGCTGATCATCCATTGACCAGCCATTGAACATCCACTGGCCACCCTCCATAGAATACCCGCTGATCATCCATTGACCACCCGCTGATCATCCATTGACCACCCTCCATTGATCACCCACTCATAATCCATTGACCACCCTCCATTGATCACCCACTCATCATCCATTGACCACCCTCCATTGATCACCCACTCATAATCCATTGACCACCCTCCATTGATCACCCACTCATCATCCATTGACCACCCTCCATTGATCACCCACTCATAATCCATTGACCACCCTCCATTGATCACCCACTCATCATCCATTGACCACCCACTCATCATCCATTGACCACCCTCCATTGACCACCCACTGATCATCCATTGTTCACCCACTGATCATCCATTGACCACCCACTCATCATCCATTGACCACCCACTCATCATCCATTGACCACCCACTCATCATCCATTGACCACCCACTCATCATCCATTGACCACCCACTCATCATCCATTGACCACCCACTCATCATCCATTGACCACCCACTCATCATCCATTGACCACCCCCACTCATCATCCATTGACCACCCACTCATCATCCATTGACCACCCACTCATCATCCATTGACCACCCATTGACCACCCTCCATTGACCACCCACTGATCATCCATTGTTCACCCACTCATCATCCATTGACCACCCACTCATCATCCATTGACCACCCACTCATCATCCATTGACCACCCACTCATCATCCATTGACCACCCACTCATCATCCATTGACCACCCACTCATCATCCATTGACCACCCACTCATCATCCATTGACCACCCACTCATCATCCATTGACCACCCACTCATCATCCATTGACCACCCACTCATCATCCATTGACCACCCACTCATCATCCATTGACCACCCACTCATCATCCATTGACCACCCACTCATCATCCATTGACCACCCACTCATCATCCATTGACCACACACTCATCATCCATTGACCACACACTCATCATCCATTGACCACACACTCATCATCCATTGACCACACACTCATCATCCATTGACCACACACTCATCATCCATTGACCACCCACTCATCATCCATTGACCACCCATTGACCACCCTCCATTGACCACCCACTGATCATCCATTGTTCACCCACTGATCATCCATTGACCACCCACTCATCATCCATTGACTACCCTCCATTGAACACCCACTGATCATTTACTGAGCACCCTCCATTGACCACCCGCTCATCATCCATTGACCACCCTCCATTGAACACCCACTGATCATTCATTGACCAGCCATTGTTCACCCACTGATCATCCATTGACCACCCTCCATTGTTCACCACTGATCATCCATTGACCAGCCATTGATCACCCACTGATCATCCATTGACCACCCTTCATTGTTCACCCACTGATCATCCATTGACCACCCTTCATTGTTCACCCACTGATCATCCATTGATCACCCACTGATCATCCATTGACCACCCTTCATTGTTCACCCACTGATCATCCATTGACCAGCCATTGTTCACCCACTGATCATCCATTGACCACCCTTCATGGTTCACCTATTGATCAGACAATGAATGTACACACGGAGTGGTTCTTCATGTAACATTTGTGATAATCAGGAAGTTGATGTTATAGAACATCTGATCATCCAGATCCGTCACATTATGATGATCACACAATCGCACCCAGTGACTGGCAGAGTCACGTTACATCATTAAGGTGACATCTTCCTTTGGAGATCCCAGCTCTGATGTCAGAGGGGATTTCCTCGTATGAAGGGGAAACTCTCAATGGGACAAGTCAGGCAAAAAAAAAAGAAAAAAAAACTGACAAAGGTTCCAACCCTCCCCTCTTCCAAAAGAAAAAAGTATTTGATTTTTTGATTTTAGATGTTTTTTTCATTTTCATGTGAATCCTTCAATAATAAATGGAAGATAAAAAAAAATAATCATCAGAATGGAATGAAAACGAAAGTTCCTGGTAATGGGGGAAATGACCGGCAATAAAATCCACAAACCTTGATCTTCAATTGAAATGAACAGAGAAGTGGCATTAGAGTCAGTATTAACCCTTCTCCTCCCAACATGAGAGTCCGAAGAGTCACTACTGGTCACGTGATACATCAAAATCCAACAGAATACAGAGGAACCCAATCTAATACCCTACGTGTACCGGGTGGGCCCTGTCAGGAGACCCAGACTGGACAAGCCACCTGTCAGGAGACCCAGACTGGACAAGCCACCTGTCAGGAGACCCAGACTGGACAACCCACCTGTCAGGAGACCCAGACTGGACA